ATAACATTATGATCTTTCGTTAAATGAAAAACTTTTATTAATATCTTCAACGAGAGTTGACTAAATTCTTAATATGCGTATTCTATCAAATCATGCAAATAAAATGGGATGGAGTGAGTATTTAAAAATTTAAAAAATTATCAAATAGGGGATGACTATCCCTATTGTATAAGTACATTGTTATTTCAACTCATTAAACCTCTTAATGAATAAAAAATTTTAAAAATCTATTTTTTTATTCAATTTCTATATTTTTTTCCTTCAATTTTTTTAAACCACTTCTATATTGTCACTCATCCAAAGTGTAATATAAGGTTGAATGAGTTAAGGATCTGTTTAGTAAAATTAATTATTTTTGTAATTGTTAGTTATTTTATTAGTTATCAGTTATTTAATTAGTGTTTCATTAAATGTAAAAATAAAAAAATGTTCTATAATATATTGCCTCAAACTCTAACCATTTGTATAGACGCTACATTACTAAACAATATAAATAATAGAGAGTGTTTTTTTTTTTTTTAATTCAAAAAAAAGACTAAGTGTGTTAGTTACTAACTCTCTCCTTATAAGTCCATGACAGTAGAGCCTGACTTAAGGAGCGAACCTTGATCAAATAGGCGGATGATCAACATCTTTATCATCAAGCCACGACCTTTGATAGTATGTGTGTGTATATATATATATATATAGTGTTTTGATCTTAGTAAAAATGTTAAACGCTATATGAAAAGCTATTACCAAATATGGCTTAAGTCGAGTCAAGTATTATTGGGTTAGACTTTAACTCTTTAAAAGTATATAGAAACTCGAACTGAAAAAATTAAACTTTAGCTCAATACATTTATAATTTTTAGTCTATTAAATGAGTTTGATAAGTAGATTCGAATTGCAGATAATTATTAGCAGTTGACTCATGTATTCCTAATGTAATGTTATATTGAATGCATTAATTATGAAAGTAAAGATCAAATGCCCACATCAATAAAAGATTCAATGCAAGTAGGAATGACATTAAAACTTAATTCTACGGAAATTCCTTCATTTCAATAAAAAATTATTTTTATTAAATTTATCTATCAATGAGCTTATAAAACGGATCAAACAAATTAATTCTATTACTACTATTCAAAGAGTAAGTATTACAATCAATAAGCTGTTAGTTGTGTTGGTAAATGACCTGAACTCCATTTTCGTAAGAGTGAAAATACAAATTCGATTTCGGAAAAACACACTATAGTGCGAGGGACATTACACGTTATGATTAAAAATAATAATAATAAGTAGGGCAAGTTTGTGATTTTTCTAGCCAACACGTGAACGCTCAAGGACACATTTTTCAAGTTAAGAGTCTAACCTACTTTCGAAAATTTTTACTTGACATTGTTTCAGACAAATTTATATAGTTTGGAATGAACATTCGCTTTGGCCAAATTCACTAGATCGATTAAATTGCACATATAAGTCAATTTGTTTTGATTCGGTCAACAAAATAGTAATTTTGAATGTTGGATGAATAGTGTGGTCTGAAGTAAATTTAACTAAATTACTCTGATTAGCCGAAGCTAAAAACACTGTCATTTTAGTTAGTAAAGAGTTGAAATAATCATTAGTTTATGTTAATTAATTTGGCTATTTTGATTTTTCAATTCAATTCAGTTTCTATTTTTTTTTTCAGCTTGGTTAATGCAAAAGTTAAATTGACTAAATTGGTTCGGTCAAATTTAGTTATATTTTTATTCAATTTAGTTCGATTAATTCTCTATTCAGTTTGATTAATTCGATTCAATTAAAAATTTTACTAAAACCGATTAAATGCTCACCCCTATATATAGTAGAAGAAGACAAGAAACTAATTCATGGATCCCATAAAAAAGGTTTTATCGAAAATAAAAAATGAGAAGAGGAAAAAAATATAAAAGCTAAATAAATATATAAGTTTTAGGTTCAAAATTTCAATGTATAGTTGTTTTAGTTGGGTTATTGTAAAACTTATCAATTATCATTATTATATATTAAATATTAAATTGAAAAATTGGCCAATAAAAAAAAGGAAAAAAAAATTAAAATTCACTTAATAACTAATTAAAAGAACCTATAAAAATTAGGAAAAATAATTAAAACTCAATGGAGGAAACCTAAGTTATTACCAAGCTAATTTATTCTGTTATTAAATCATAATAAGAACTATAATTATTGAAAAAAAAACAAATACAAAATTCACTTAATTTACAATTTAAATTATTGCAAAAGGATAGAAAGTTGTCTTAATAAAGATCACTTATTAAAAATTTATCCAGTTATCTAATTATCTAGTTATTAAAATTTATCTCCATATTTGGAGTTTTTTATTTACATATGTAGTCAAAATCATCTTCAAGCGAAAAAATTTAATATTATCTTTTTTAATTTTAATTTTATTATTTAAAAAATATAAATATTTTTTTTTGTTAAAACACCAACGAACTCTCTATTAATTATAATATAAGAAATTGAGTATTGTACTATTTGATATTATTATTATTAATGAATTATATTCTTAAAAAAAAAAAAATACTCAAAAGAAACCGTTCTACACAAACATATGGAACACTTTTCTTGGCATAGTTTTATATGGATGCACAAATATTGATTGCCTTTGATAAATACTATAATTGGATTTAACCCTTTGTTTGGAAATTAACAAAAATGATAGAATTTATTTTAATATTAAATTTTATAAGATTTAATCTATGAAAAAAAGTGAATATCTCTTTTCATATCAAATATAAAAATATGAAATTTTAAAATTGAGATAAGCATTCTCTTTAAAAGTACGAAATTCCAATATTAATTAAAAATTAAAACCAAATCTTCATTTTGATTCTACCAAATCCAATATTTTTACGTTAATTAGAGTTATTAAAATTATTTTATGCCGATATTTAAAGTTTCATTTTTTAAATTAAATTGTTCTTAAAATTGGATTGAATTTTTTTTATTTAAAAGACTTAGAATGTACTTTTTAGATGTCTTCTCTTCATATTTTGTTATTAATTGGGAAAAAAAAAATTCAGTCCTATGTTTGTATATACTCTAAATTCAATATTCAAATCCTTTCAAAAAAAAAAAAAAAAAAAAAAAAAGATTTTTTTTGTATAAAACACCACACGGTAATCTCATTCTACTTATAATGGTATTAAATATTAAAGAATTATATGTGAGAGTATTGTTTTACATTAACTTTACGTATTATTATTATTAATGGAATTATATTCTTAAATAAGAATTAAAAAAAATACTCAAGAAAACCGATTTACACTTCACAAAATATGGAACACACTTTTTGGCATAGTTTTATATGGATGCACAAAATAAATTGATTTTGCCTTTTTTTGAATATTAAAATTATACTTTATCATATAGGATTTAACCCTTTAGATTGGAACTCTAACAAAATAACAATGATGAGAAACTTCTCATTCATTTATTAATGCATTACAAACTATTTATAAGATTTTAATCTAATGGAAAAAATACGTGAAAATATCTCTTTTCAATATTCCAAATATAAAAATTATTGTTAAATTTCTAATTAATTGAAAGCTATTCTCCCTTTAAAAAGTTCCGAAAAATTTCTCATATATTTAATTTATAAAAATTATAAACTCAAATCTACTCTTTTTTTGATTCTTTAGGCCAAACTCCCAACATATTTTTACGGTTATATAGAGTTATTTAAAACTTATTTTAATACTGCCTGACTTTATATTAAAGTTTTCATTTTTTTTAAAAATTATCAAATTGATCTTTATAAAATTGGATTTGAATTTTTTTTATTTAAAAGACTTAGTAGGAATGTACTTTTTTAGATGTCTTCTCTTTTCATTTTTTTTGTATATAAGTTCTGGGAAAAAAAACAATTTCAGTCCTTATTGTTTGTATTAATACCTCCTAAATTCATATTCAAATCCTTTCAAAAAAAAAAAAAAAAAACAAAAAAAAACTTTCAATTAGTCAAATAGTTATCGGGAGTCCAACTTAAAGTGGAATCGTTAAATATTAATCATTATTCAATTCTTTATTTTACTATTAAAAAAAAAAAAAAAAAAAAAAAAATTCAATAGTCAAATAGTTATCGGTCCAACTTAAGTGGAATCGTTAAATATAATCATTATTCAATTCTTATTTACTATTATTAATTAAATGCGATTTAACTGTGCTTTTTACTTTCTATAAAAATATAAGGAGAAAAAGATATTCTACGAAAGTCTTTTAATTGCAAGAACTTTCACTTTTACGGTGTAACTTACAATTATTCTGCATTATATTTATATAAATCACAAGAGCGTAGAATCTGAGTTTAAATCTTTTCTATAATAAATGTTTTTACCCTTATTATATAGTCAATAATATTATTTTGATTTATGTTTACATAAATATGAGAGCAGGAATGCAAAAAAATATCTGGTAGATGATAAAAAAATTTAGTTTAGATTTTGTAGGAGAAAGTAATGTGGATATGATAAACCATATGACACCTAATTCTGACTTTGAAGCTTTACGACATCAAAGGAAACTTACAAAATTAAAATTAATTTATAAAAAAAAATTACAAATTTAAAATTAAGATAACTAACCCAAATCTTAAACTTAGTATTTTTTTTATTTTTTATGTTTTTGGGTCAAATAGAACCAACCCAACCATGTGCAGAGTCCTTGTCACATACTCTGCCTCCTCTTACCTTGTGCCACCTCATGAGAACCAAAAATCTTCCTTTCTGTTGAAACTTGAAATGTAGAAACAGAAAGGAAAAAAAAAATTACACACACAGCCCATACACATGCAAACAAATGCAAAAGCAAAGTGCAAAGATAACACAATCCAGACAAAAACAATGGCCAAGTTGGAGAGACCCTAAAAAGGAATCCCAAAAACCTGCCAATCCCATTTGACAGCCTTTTGATTCTTCCCACCTTATATGTGGGTCCCACCCCCATGTGCATGTCCATCAATTACAACACCTCTCTTCTCTTCTTCTCTCTTCTAGTTCTATCTTTCTTTCCCTCTCTGCTAAACATAATTAACCTTTTCTTCCTTTTTTTCTTTCTCTATGCATTGTTACCTGTTCTTGAAAACTTGAACCCATCAGTTCCATTGCATAACAATGGAGAAGAAAAGAAGCCATTTCAGTTTTAACATTTTTCTACTCTTTTTTCTTTCTGGGTTTTCTTCCATGTTTCATTTTGTCAATTCTCAAGCAAACCCAAGTCAAGATGCTGCAGTTATGTTTTCTCTCAAGAAAAGTCTTAATGTACCTGATTCTCTTGGATGGTCAGACCCGGATCCCTGCAATTGGAACCGTGTCACTTGTACTGAAAAACGGGTTACCCGGATCCAAATTGGTCGACAAGGTCTTCAAGGTACACTTCCTTCAAATCTTCAAAACCTTACTCAGCTAGTACGCTTAGAGGTTCAGTGGAACAATATTTCGGGTCCTGTTCCTAGTTTAAGCGGCTTAAGCTCACTACAAGTTGTAATGTTATCTGGAAACCAGTTTACTTCTATTCCTAGTGATTTTTTCACTGGTTTGTCTTCTCTGCAAGGTCTAGAGATTGACAATAATCCATTTTCTACTTGGGTAATTCCTGAAAGTATTAGAAATGCTTCTGCTTTGCAAAATTTTTCCGCAAATTCTGCTAACATATCTGGGTCCATTCCCCAATTTTTTGGTGATTTTCCGGGTCTAACCATTCTTCATTTGGCCTTCAACGAGCTTGAAGGCGGGTTGCCTGCTAGCTTTTCCGGGTCACAAATCCAGTCTTTATGGCTTAATGGGCAGACAAGTAGAAACAAACTTACTGGTACTATTGATGTTATACAGAACATGACTTTGTTGAAGGATATTTGGTTGCATTCCAATGGGTTTTCGGGTCCATTACCGGATTTTTCGGGTTTGAAAGATTTGCAGGTTTTGAGTATCAGAGATAATTCATTTACAGGTCCTGTTCCTTTGTCTTTAGTGAATCTTGAGTCTTTAACTGTTGTTAATTTGACAAATAATCTATTTCAAGGACGAATGCCTGTGTTTAAGAGTTCAGTAGCGGTTGATATGAGTAAGGATTCAAATAGTTTTTGTTTGCCAAGTCCTGATGATTGTGATTCCAGGGTCAACACATTGCTTAAGATTGTCGAATCTATGGGTTACCGGCAAAGATTTGCTGAGAATTGGAAGGGAAATGATCCTTGTGCAGATTGGGTTGGAATTACTTGTATTCAAGGGAACATTACCGTTGTAAACTTTCAGCATATGGGTCTTACAGGAACAATTTCGCCTGCTTTTGCTTCGCTCACGTCATTGCAAAGATTGTTTCTTGATAATAACAATCTCACTGGTTCCATCCCACAAGAGCTTACTAGTTTGACTGCACTTAAGGAACTTGATTTGTCAAACAATCAACTTTCTGGGAAAATTCCAGTTTTTAAGAATAATGTGATTTTGAATACTAATGGTAATCCAAATATAGGGAAGGAAGTTGATACTTCTATCTTGCCAGGTTCACCATCAGGCGCTCCAGTAACGAATACTAGTTCGGGAAGTAGTGGTGGTTCTGGAAATGGTGGCAAGAAATCTTCTACTTTGGTTGGAGTAGTTGCGGTCTCTGTTATTGGTGGTGTATTTGTTATATTCTTGATTGGTTGCTTGATTTTCTGCCTATATAAAAAGAAACAAAAGCGGTTTAGCAGAGTGCAGAGTCCAAATGCAATGGTTATCCATCCTCGCCATTCAGGATCTGATAATGAGAGTGTAAAGATAACAGTTGCTGGTTCAAGTGTTAGTGTTGGCGCTATTAGTGAGACCCATACTATTCCTGCAAGTGAGCAAGGTGACATTCAAATGGTCGAGGCAGGGAACATGGTCATCTCTATTCAAGTCTTAAGAAATGTTACAAACAATTTCAGTGAGGAAAACATATTGGGAAGCGGAGGTTTTGGTGTAGTCTACAAAGGTGAGTTGCATGATGGTACAAAGATTGCTGTGAAGAGAATGGAGTCTGGAGTTATAAGTGGCAAGGGACTTGCTGAGTTTAAGTCCGAGATAGCTATTTTGAATAAGGTTAGGCACCGGCATCTTGTTGCACTTCTTGGATACTGCTTAGATGGTAATGAGAAGCTTCTTGTATATGAATTTATGCCACAAGGAACACTAAGCATGCATCTTTTCAACTGGGCAAATGAAGGACTAAAGCCCCTAGAATGGACAAGGAGGTTGACTATAGCTTTGGATGTGGCAAGGGGTGTTGAGTATCTTCATGGTTTAGCACATCAAAGTTTTATCCATAGGGACTTGAAACCCTCAAATATTCTTCTTGGAGATGATATGAGAGCTAAGGTTGCAGATTTTGGCCTTGTGCGCCTTGCACCAGAGGGTAAAGCCTCAATTGAAACTAGAATTGCTGGAACTTTTGGATACTTGGCACCAGAATATGCAGGTAATTTTCTTTCTAGTTGCTTAGTTAATGCTTAAATTTTATAATGCTGAGATGCTTATTCAAATATAAAATCTGCATGGTCATTTCCAGCTTGATGCCAATTTCGTCCGAGTTTATTCTTATTTGAATTCTTCACTATTTTTCTGAAAATAGCCAGCTAGATTCATTATTTGTTTCAGATTCATTTTCTTCTTTGGTTTGCAATTATCTTTGAATACTTTATGACTGTTAATATTAGTGAGTTCTTTTAATTACTTCTCAATTGAAGGTATTGTTAGTGCTATTTTGAAGGAATTAATCAGTATTCATATCTAGGCAACAACATTTAACATGATGCTTTACCTTCTGGTTAAGACTATTGGATTAGTTTGGGTTCAAAGGTCCAATTCTAACAAATTATCAAAGAGACAAATGGTTTTTAGAGGCTAAAACGTTGTTTATATGATTTTGGTTATAGTTGTTTAATTTTCTCTTTTATTGAAATTGTTGAGTAGTCTAACATTTTCTAATTACATAAAACAGAAGCATGACTGAATCTTAGCTGTTCAACAGTAGGATCATTTTCAGTTTAAAAAAGAGAAAAAGTAAAAGTTACCGTTTGCATTTAGGTTGTGCTTCAACTCAAAAGATCTTTGATTATCTACTCCTTTATTTACAGAAAAATTTTGGGCACATAAGTTATCTTTCTGATATTTTTCTCTCAACTCATATTAGACGATATCTTCTGACATTAAACTCTTATTTGTGATTTTATTGTAGTTACTGGCCGGGTGACGACTAAAGTGGACGTTTTCAGTTTTGGGGTGATACTAATGGAGCTTATAACAGGCAGAAAAGCACTCGACGATAGTCAGCCTGAGGAGAGCATGCATCTTGTAACTTGGTTCCGAAGAATTCACCTTAACAAAGACACCTTCCGCAAGGCCATTGACCCAACGATTGATCTTAATGAAGAAACACTCGCCAGTGTCAGCACCGTAGCAGAGTTGGCAGGTCACTGCTGCGCAAGAGAGCCGTATCAAAGGCCTGACATGGGGCACGCAGTCAACGTCCTATCTTCCCTAGTAGAGCTCTGGAAACCAGCTGATCAAAATCCAGAAGACATATATGGCATTGATCTTGAAATGTCCTTGCCACAAGTACTTCAGAAATGGCAAGCTTATGAAGGTAGAAGTGACATGGAATCTTCGTCTGCTTCGTTACTCCCGAGCTTAGACAATACTCAGACCAGTATACCCACTCGTCCTTACGGGTTTGCAGAGTCATTTACATCAGCGGACGGACGATGAATATGGTAGTTGTAAATTATGGTGGTTGTGTTCTCTATGTTCATTCTATTTACTTCGTGTTTTCTCTGAAAACTTTCCCTGACTCCTAGTTCTTGGTTTTAGCTATTTTTTCTTGATTATTGTTATTGGAAGTGTAGTTTGATTGTTCTTCGATCTTCACACGTTTAGAAAGGTTTTGCAAATGCAATGAAATGAGTTTCATTTGGATGTATAGTTGCATCTGAAATTAGTCCATATTAAAATTATTGCGGTTTCCCATTTCCCATCTCAATATGAGCATTTGCAATCTTTATTTTGTTCTGCAAAATTGGAATTTGTCTTTCTTCATGTTTCTTAATAATCCCTTTCCTGATATATGAATAATAAATAAATAAATAAAATTTCTGGGTAGGACCATTTTAGGTTCTGTCATGACAAGAGATGGTCCTCGCCAATAATATCTTTGAACTTATCTCATAAAAGTTCATTAATTGTCTTCCTGTTCTCTATTGTTAAAGATTTATTATGAAATTACAATTATTTTTTCATTATTTTCAATTTTAATTATAAAATGATGTTTGAAATCTTTTGAGTAAAGCTAAAATTGTAGTTGGCAACTACTGTATACCATAAGTAGATTGAGAGAATAATTTCTCAATTTTATTTATCCTTTTGCCTTTAATGACAATTATGTCCTCAAAAAAGAAAAGCAATTGCAATGATACCAAAATTTTCTAAACACATGGATGTTTAAAGTAGAATTTTCCTAAAATTATATAGATTTCACTTGATGGTCTTTTTGGGAATATCTCTCTGTGTTTGTAATTTTTCTTTTCTTGAGAGGTTTGGTGGTGGGGATGGAACGTATAATTATTGATATTGGAATATATGATGAGCTTAGTAAGGAATGAGAACATACATAAAATCATCTTTGTGATCTTCACACACCAATTTGAGATATGTATAACCTAAATATTTATCTATTAATTTATTTATTTATTACGAAAAGAATTGTTAATCTTTATGTTCGTCCTTTCTAAGTTCAGTTAATAATTGATTTCCATCTAAAAAGAAAATTATCCCTTTTTATTATTGTTCATTTTTTTTATATCTTTATTTATATTTAGGGAAAAAATAAAATTGTCCTTAAGTTATAGTTAAATTAACTAACTATGAGGTTAGTTAGTCATTTCATTCAAAATAGAGGGACCACATTGTTAATAACACGGAGGACCAATTTCTCGGTCGATTAATAGTTAAAAAAAAGTTATTTTGAATTAAAGGATTAATGTGTTAACGAAATCATGAGTTAAAGATCTCACAGTTAATTTTTAAAAATATAGATCTTCATATATTAATTTGATTATAACGTAGTGACAAATTTTTTTTTTCTTTCATATTTATTATTGCTATTAGATTTATTGAGTATGTAATTCTCACCTGTGGGATCAAGCAAGAAAACAAAAAAGTTTTGTGACAACACTTTGTGAGTGTAGCAATTTCATTATTAAGAGAGAATGGATAGAAAGTTATATGAAAACTAAATGGCAGGATAAAGAGGTGGTGCTTTGTCTTTACCAACAAAAATAGTTTTGTCCAATCAAAATGTTCTGTAAAGGCTAATGACAGAGCAACTTGGAATTTTCTTTTTATTTCATTTCCCTTTCAATAATTTAACATAACAACTTGCAAATGTCCAAAATTATTTAATGTCTCTCTTTCTCACTAAATGATTTAATAATTTATTTTTCAAAATTAGTGTACTCTATAAATTTGATCCTTTTCCAAGAAAAATACTAAGCTAAATGTTTTTTACCTTAAAATTGAGTAGGATGAATGGGAGAGGGAAGAGGCTGGAAGTGGCCATGCATCAATAATATACTAGTAGGGAAAGATTCTAATAATTGTTAAGTAGCTTGGTTATTTTGGTCCAAGGGATGTGGGCTCAGGCCTTAATGCAATAAATTATTACTCCACAAGACAATAATTTTCTTTTCCTTTTTATTTTTTATTTCAATATAACATTATAATATATATACTTATTTAATAAAGAAATAAATTATAAACATAATCTATATAGATATATAAAAACAGATCAATTTGTATTATATGGAAGCCAGTGTAAGAAGATAAATCGTTTTATATTTTTAGATTATGTCTTTATCATGATCATATCTATTAGTTATATCCCATCAAGATAATACATTAAATTAAATTAAAATACAAATAACTCAAGCCATAAAATAAAAAATACCTAATTTTTTTTTTTTATTTTAATGATTACCTTGGTGTATGGGATAGTCTTATATATCAGGACCTAAGTTGCACAGACACGGTATACAAGATATGAAACGTATGATACATATGATAATAAATATACAATCATTTATAAAAAATAAAAAATAAAAAATAAAAAATGAATTTTTTTATTTTAATATAATTAGTTTAAATTAAAATACATATAACCCAAAAAAATAAAAAATGATTTTTTTATTTTTAATTATAATTAGTTTAAATTAAAATACTATAACCCAAATTATAAAATAAAAAATAATTTTAATTTCTTATTTTAATGAGTACATTTTGACGTATGAAATAGTCTGATGTATCAGAAGCATAAGTTGCCCACAGATACGAGACCACGAATATAGCTAACGTACGAGATATGATGAATAAATTATGGAATTAATTCATTTATAATAAATAATAATCATTTATAATAAATAATAAACATAAAATAAAAACATAGTTAATTTCTTATTTCAATATAATTAGTTAAATTCTCAAAATTATTATCACTACTTTGAAAAATCTATATCTATCACTATAATATATAAAAGCATGGTACTTTGCTTTATATGGAAGTCAAGTGTAAGTAGCACAGTTTGCCACTTGGCATTATTTTGGATTATAGAATTACGGATGTTAGAATTTTCACAATTTAGCACTATCGTAAGAATTGTAAAAAAGATCAGTTATTTTATATTTTCAGATAATCCATCTATCAAGATAATATCTATACAAAATATTATCTTTAGCCTTTAATATATTAATATAAATTTATTTATTCTTACAAAATAATTAACAAGTAATCCACACGCTTAAAAAAAGTGTGAATAAACGATACATTATTATTAAATAAATAATATACGAGCAATTTAAAAAATATAAATTAAAAGATACAATATACGATAAATTTTAAAAAAGTAGGACATCCATACGCTTAGAACACACTATAATAAATAAGTAATATATTAATATTTCAAATAAATAAACAACAGTTTATAATAAATTATAAACATAAAATAAAAAAAAACTTAATATAAAAAAAATATTTCAAATAAATAAACAACAGTTTATAATAAATTATAAACATAAAATAAAAAAAAACTTAATTTCTTATTTCAATGATCCAAAAAATATTTAAAAATATTTCATTTTTTATTGGTAATAAAAAAATCTTGGTTGATTACCTTGGTGTATAGAGTAGTTTCATATATCAAAAGCTGAGTTGTATGACAATGGGACACGATATACGGAACGTATGGGATACGCTAATTTTTAAAAAAGGTAAAACATTCACTAGCTTAAAACACACTACATTAAACAAGTAATATATTAATATTTTAAATAAATAAACAATCATTTATAATAAACATAAAATAAAAAACACTAAATTTTTTTTATTTCAATGACACAAAATCAAATTAAAAAAATACTTCATTTTTATTGGTAATAAAAAATCTTAGTTGATTAGCTTGTTGTATGAAGTAATCTCATATACCAAGAGCTATGTTGCATGAAAACATGATACGATAATTTTTAAAAAAGATAAGACATCTACATGCTTAGGACATAATATACTAAATAAGTAATATATTATTACTTTGAAGATGGAGCCCATATCAAGCGTTGGGAAGGGACCCAATCGACTCCTAGTCACCTTCGAAATGTTTCCCCTCTATTAACTTTGAAGATGGAGCCCATATGGCGGAAGTGCCATTGAAGGCGGTGGTGAAGCGACTATCGAGCTTGATTTCGACCGATCGGCTCACCAAATGCACAAACGAAGCATGGATTCAAATTCCTGGTGAATTATCGAGTCTGGGGTATAAGCACCGCTCAAATCCAGCAGAGGCACAATTTGCCAGCCACCGTGCAGGGCGGTCACCAGCGACGGTCCGGTGACTGGCCGACGACACTCCGGCGAGGCCCCAAGAGACAGAATGATCGCCTTTTCACGCTGATCATGGAATCGCTGCCCGGTTCTCAATTGGTACGTTCTAAGACTAATTTCCCCATTTTTGGTATAAATTCTAAACTTAATAATTATTAGTTGATTAGATTGAATTTGAATGAATAAGTTGATTAGATTGAATTTGAATGAATAATCAATCAAATATAATTTTGCTATGAATCAGTCGGTATAATGTAGATGCAAATTAATTCTGAATATTGTTAAATATATTTCATGAACATTAGTTACAACTAGAAGGTTTGATATTGAGATAAGAATTCCTAGCTAATATTTATTTAAGCTAATTTATGAATTTTAATAAATATTGTTAGGAGGAGTTATAATTTAAGGCATAGACAAGTAAATAGTTATAGAGCAATTAATAATATCATTGGAACAAGCTTGGATGTTAATATAAATTGTTAATTAATTGATTTGGAATTATTAAGTGTATATATGTGAGTGTGATGGATGATATATGTAGCCGGAAGCGGATGGGTTGGTTGGATTGATTGCTCGATGGATGGATTGTGTGAATTGAGTAATCGAATGATTGATAAATAAGGTTATGGCGGGCTGTACGGGATGATGTTTGATTCGTGAATTGCCCGACGGATGGGCTTTGATATTATATTGTTGAATCGGTGGGTTTAGTCATAATTTTAGGGAGGTTTTGCCGAAATTTTTGATAGAACTTAGGCTAGTCTTAATTAATAATATATGTTAAAGGTTTAATTAAGATTAATTCTTTATCTCTACTTATATTATTATTATTCATTAGTATTCATTTTATTTATTTAATATTTATTCTATTTTCATCATTATTGTTTATTATTTTATGTTTTCATTATTGTTGTTTATTGTCTAATAATTATTATAATATATTGTTAATTACTATTCTTTTATTTAATTGTAAATGAATATGAATGTCTAATTGTGCACTTACATCATGATATTTAATTGTCTGATATGCTTGTATTTAATTGTAATGCTTGATTATTTGTGTTGTGATAATGTTATGCTTTATTTGTGTGGAGTTGGGATGAAGTGGGTCACCATGGGTTTGTGAGGGCGGTCCACGAGACCGTTTGCTGTATGGGAGATCGACGTCCCGTATGCATCTGATGATATGATATGGATAATATGGATAAATCACAAGGTGGCCTCCTATTAGTATGGAAAAGAAAAGAGAGAATGGAAAAACAATGAGAGGGCTGGTCAATTGAGGATTAGATCGGTCGGCCATGTATGGGGATCGGCTCCCTGGTGCACACGTATGAGAGGGTGAGCCATGTGTGAGGACGGCTCGGTTCATTGGGAATTTTGGTGATGCCACGGACGAATTTCCACGTGATATGATTATGTGAAGTTGATAATAAGTGTGAGTGCTGTTGTTATGCCATTTGTGTGATAGTCTGTGTGAGCATATACTAGTCGGACGACTAGATTGATATATTTACACATTTGCGTGAATGTATATGTTGTGTAATAATTATTACTCCTTAGAAAACTCACATGTTTTGTTTAATTTTTCAAGAAGTAAGTTTCTCTTTAATTCGATTTAGGCTATGTTTCTTCACCGCAAGACTATAAAGAAATTTTTCTAGTTCCATAATTATTTTGCTATGTAACTAATTATATATATATAGACAAATTATTTTGCTATGTAACTATATGCATAAAAAGCTATTTATATCAAATAGTTAGTGACTCTGCAGTTGTAGAATTTACATACATTTAGTCGTGTATTAATATAGACGAAAAAATTCTGTGAGCCTATATTACAAATGTGATATATTGTAAATTGGGCTCGAACTGTGGAATGTTGAAGGTAATAAATCTGAACCGAGGTGTAATAAAATCTTGAGGTTTATTTTTCTAGTAATATAGGCTGAATGTTTGAAATTTATATTGAGATAGTAGATTTTAACATTTCAGGCTTACTATAAATCTCGGGGGACTTCAAGCTTATATGGACCTTAATGCTGATCCGGCCCATGGAAAACGGGTCGTGACAAAAACATTCCGTCAACTTTTGTTTTAAAATATTCAACTTACTATATAACAAAAAAAAAAAAAAAAAAACAAAAAAAAAAAAAAAAAAATGAACTTACGGAACTTTGAAATTTGATACTTCTGTATACTGCGACATTAGGAATTGAACAAATGACTGGCTTCAACGTTTCGCGCATTGCACCACGTTTGCCAAATGGCGCAAATTTTTTTAAAATTAAAATTTTAAACTCTACCTTCTCTTTTGAAGAGACTTTAAGTCTTAATATTTATATAAAAAAAAAAAAAAAAAAAAAATGAACTTACGGAACTTTGAAATTGATACTTCTGTATACTGCGACATTAGAATTGAAACAAATTGACTGGCTTCAACGTTCGCATTGCACACGTGCCAACATGGCTGCAATTTTTTTAAATTAAAATTTTAAACTCTACCTTCTCTTTTTGAAGAGACTTTAAGTGCTATTTATATTTATATAAAACATAACTACTTAATATTAAAATTTGACTATTGCACATAAAGCTTCTTTTTTTTTTTTTTAAAGCAAAGAAAAAAAAAAGTGAATAGATGTTGTTTTATCTTTATTTTAATGAAAAATATGTTGATTAATAACATTATTAAAAGTTAACTAAATTCATATTTTATGAGAAATATATCTACCTCACCTCACCTCACCTTCTATATAAAATGGTGGTTTGAGGAATGAATGATAAAATAGTAATTTTCTCTATTTTATATTTATATTTAAAATATAAATTTATGTCTCTTTTGTGAAATTATGATTCTGATTATTAATGATAATAAGATGAAGATATTAAATAATATATAAAAGATTGTAATTGTTAATTATTATTAATTGTTACGACCCATCATGAGGTTTTAATTTGTGGCCATATAGAGTTGAAAGTCAGGTAACCCAAAAAAGAGAAAGAGTTGAAAGTCAGTGGTATACCTAGCACAAGAACCAGTCTAAAGCCGCTCACTCGGTCTACCGACTGAATAAGACTCAGAGGCGGTCAAACCGGGTCAGCCGTCAAATATTCAACGGTCAACATTCCAAATATTTGCCCTCACCTCAACCAAAACCAACCAAACCAACCAAACAAACCTTCCACTTCATTTCTTGAACAACTTTTTCTCTTTTTACACTCTCTTTCTCTTCTAATCCTACCTAGCTTTGACCAATTTACACACACATATAAAACCCCATAATCGTACTTTGCTTCATAATCCAAAACCAGAAGAACTCAATCCCACAACCAAAAGAAAAATAAAATAGAATATAGAATACACTCACAGAAAAAAGAAAATGTTATCTTGGAGAAGAAGAAGAAGAGCAGTTGGCCCTCTAGACGGAAAAAAAAATTTCAGCAGCAAGTCAGAGACGGAAATCAAGATTCCGATGCATTTTCTCTGCCCAATATCATTAGACTTGATGAAAGATCCAGTGACGTTGTCAACGGGGATAACTTACGATAGGGGAAGCATTGAGAAGTGGATAGAATCTGGTCACCGGACTTGTCCGGTAACAAACCAGACTTTAACGAGCTGCGATCAAATACCAAACCACTCAATACGGAAAATGATTCAAGATTGGTGCGTAGAGAATCGGTCTTACGGTATTGAACGTATTCCTACGCCTCGTATTCCAGTCACCAGGTACGAGGTTTTAGATATTTGTAAGACAACTATGGTGGCGGCACAAAATGGGGATTACACCAGGTGTAAGAACTTAGTAGTAAAGATCAAGAACTGGGGAAAAGAAAGCGAAAAAAATAAGCTTTGCGTTGCGGAAAATGGGGTTGGTTATGTTTTATCAGTTGCTTTCGAGTTATTTTCAGTTGAAATGGAGAAAAATGCAGATTTATTAAAGGAGATACTGTCGATATTGGTATGGGTGTTTCCATTAGGTTTAGAAGGTGAAAAGAAGTTAGGATCGGTAAGTTCTTTGCGTTGCATGTTATGGTTATTAGAGAGTAGTGGAGATCTTTCTGCTAGACAAAATGCAGTTTTAGTACTTAAAGAGTTAGTTTCTTCATCAGATCAAAATTATATAACCAGAGTAATAAAGATAGGAGGAGTAATTGAAGCTTTAGTTAAGTTAATAAAAGAGCCTATTTGCCCTTCTTCAATTAAAGCTTCATTAATGGTTATTTTTTACATGTTATCTCCTTCTTTGATGAATGAAAGGATCATATCAACATTTTTAGAAATGGGTTTAGTTCCTCTGGTTATAGAAATTCTTGTTGATGGAAATAAAAGCATAAGTGAAAAGGCTTTAGGTGTTCTAGACCATATTTGTGAGTTTGAAGAAGGAAGAGAAAAGGCTTATGAGAATGCCCTAATTGTTCCTGTTTTGTTTCAGAAGATTTTAGCATCAGAATTGGCAACAAAATTCTCAGTGTCAATTATTTGGAAGTTATTCAAGAATGAGAAAAGAGAAGAGGGTGGAGTTGCAGTTGAAGCACTTCAACTTAAAGTGGGTGCTATTCAAAAGTTACTTATACTATTACAAGTTGGCTGTGATGAAAGTACAAAGGAGAAGGTTATTGAATTGTTGAAATTGTTGAATTTTTGTAGAGCTAAGTTAGATTGTATTGGTTCTTCAATGGATTTTAGGTATCTAAAGAAGTCCTATTGACCTTTTTTATTTTTATTTTGGTAGGTTAGGAAAGTAATTGTGGATATTAATGTTATGATAGAGAGAGACCATTCAAGAAAAAAAGTTGATGATAAAAATTATTGAATTGATGATTCATTGTATTGTACAAATTAATTGTATTCATGTAGAGTTTCATACTTGGAATATTTAATGCTTATATCCGTTGTATTCACTTTCATTTTCAAACATTTCTCAATCATCAGAGAGATATTAGGGAAATTATTGGATATTTTAGAGTGAATTTATTAAATAATATTTTTTATGTGATATTTATAATATATGAACATTTAGCATATAAAGTAACATGAGATATTACACTGTTACTAAATACTACATCTGTTCCATAATATTTATCACATTTGAAAAAATAATTTGTTCTAAAATACTTGTTACATTTATGGTTTCAATAAATAATAAATTTTTTTTTTCATGTTTACCCTTTGTATATGACTAATAATTATTACTTCAAATTAATGGTTTTTTAGAGAATTAATATTAAATTAAAGGTAATATAGTAAATTTACTCAATAATTTTTAATGATTTGACAAATTTAATGATTTTTTTAAAGAATCTGAAATTTCAAATGTGATAAGTATAGTTAGTAGTTACTATAAACTTCAATAATTTTTTATAATTTAGACAAATTTAATAATTTTTTTTTAAAAATCTGAAATTTCAAATGTGATAAGTGTTATGAAACATAGTTAGTAGTTATTATAGACTTCAAAAAAGAATAGTTACCAACTAACCATAAATAACCAACAAATAATCTTTGGTTTAGAAGGTCAAAATAAAACTCTAATAGCCCACGATTGTTTTTAATTTAATAATAAAATAGTGCATTATAAATCAATTAACTTTCTTACATAACATTAATTACTTTCTCATCTAATTAATGGCAGACATTGAATATTAAAAGTCTCCTATATTTTTCATTCCAAAAAAAAAAAAAAAAACAACTTTCTAACATAACTATAAATTTACTTTGCTCAGCTAATTAATGGCAGACATTGATATATTATATAATGATCTTCTTTATTCTTTCATTCCAAAAATAAAAAAAAAAATAAAGCTCCTACTAATTCAAAAAAAAAAAAAAAAAAGCTCCTATATTTATTGATATAAGATCTTGATAATTCATTTAAAAATTTAAAAGTTTCAAAAATAATACATATTTAATTATGTGTATTTGCTGCTTGTCGAAATATAAACTAAAATTAATTAACTGAAAAAACTAAATTCATTTCAACACTTACTTAATAAAGAATATATTAAATACGCCCCTTAATAATTTCAAAATAATTTGATCTTATGCTTCTTAATAATAGCAAATTAATATTTGATCCGTACCAAATAATTAGGTTGTAGATGTTTGTTAAACATTTTTACCAATAGCTGATACCTGATATATCAGGTGTATGTTGGAGTTTTTTTTTTTTTTTTTTTTTTTTTTTTTTTTTGAGTTAATAAATTTGAATTTAAATTTATTATTATTTTTGTGAAGTGATTTAAAACCTATAAAAAATTAAAATAATAATTACTAGTAATTTCCTTTCAAATTAGTATTTTTTATGTATTTCATACATAATGTTTAAAAGTAATATTTATTTCTATTAAATATTTATTTTTAAATTTATTTATTATTATTTTATCATAAAAATTAAATTATTAATATATTTCAAATAAATTAAATTATAATATATTCAATTTAAAAATTAAAATTATACATTATAACATATTAAAAAAATAATATCCTCAATGATCATTTATATTTTAACAGCATCAACTACCAAAATTTCACTAAATACTGGTATTTACTAGTTAACCGCTATCAATCACCGGCTATTATCTATTAGTAACCACCATATAATATTAGATGGTATGAACAACTAAATTAAACGAGTCTTAAATAATAAAAATTATTTTCTTCATAAGGAATATTTACAAATTAAAGGTTTATTACAGTCATAACTTACAACCCACCTTTCTTTTTTTTTTTTTTTTTTTTTTTTTTTTTTTTTCTTTTTTTTTTCTTGATGTAAAAACATCATCTCATGACAAAGAGCTGTATGGTAAAAATAAATTTTATAAAATTTTATAAAATTTATGTACACCTTCAAGTTCTCATGTTTGGCGTAAATAAAAATTCATTTGAAATTTTATATATTTAAATTTATGGAATTAATTTTACTTGAATAAAATTATATAAAATTTATTTATAAATGAATTATATATTTAGATTTGCAAATAAACTGTAAACTTAGAGAGTACAAATTTTTAAAGGTAATGAGTTGTAATTGCAAGTAAGTAAAATAGTATATTTAAAATGAATTCCACAATTGATTCAAACTTAATAATTTAATTTATATTCTAAAAAAAACTTAATAATTTATACATTTTAAAAGTGAAATGTTGCTTATAAAAAAATAATAAAAGAATAATAAAAGCAAAAATAAAGAGAAAAAGATTGGAAAGTAAAGTTGGTAGTGAAGATGTTGGGCTGGATTTGGGCTTATTGTGTCCAGCATTACTGAACCAAAGCAAAACAAAATTTGAAATCCGTCTTTGAAGCCTGATCAAGAAATGAGATGCTGAGCTCACTGGGCTCATGGGTGGCATCCACCCAACAAATATATGCATCCAACCCAACAAATCTACTATATATATATTTATTTGATATAGTAGTTATATATACTATATCAATATGATATACTATATATTATATATACTTTATATCAAAAATGATTTCTTACAGTAAGGGTTGTATTTTGATAAAAATGATTTTTCAGATTTCTACAGTAAATGTTTGATTTCTACAGTAAATGTTTCTACAGTTGATAAAGACGAAATCGAAAAAGAATTCATAAACGAAATATCTAAAATGAAAAACTTAATCAAAATGAAACAGATATTAAAAACTTATACTTTTGAAGAATTAAAATCTGAATTTTTAGAATATAAAATTAATATTCAAAATGACATTAAATTCTTTGATTGGTATCAATTAATTAAAGAAAATTGCTCTAATAGAAGTTTAAATCCAATTATAGTAGGAGATAAAAGTCTAGAATCGAAATTAATTAGTAAAAGTAATCAACCAGAAACATCTACATCTTGTAAAATACATAAGAAAAAATCAAACAAAAAGGATTATAAAACTTTAACTTGTTATAGTTGTGGTAAAAATGGACATACAGCTAAAGTTTGTAAATCCAAGAAAAAATCAACATCTAGTATGCATACCAACTACAAGAAGAAATCTTATCAAAATTTAACTTGTTATCATTGTGGTAAAAACGGGCATACATCTAAATTTTGTAAATTTTTAATTAAACAAAATAATAATTTTAAACCATGTCCTAGTCACAATGAATTTGTCAATATATTAAAAGACCAATTAAGTAAACTTGAGGTTCGTTCAGAAACTACTCAACAAATAGCACCTGACACTCCTCAAACATCAAGAAATATAAATAATTTAGAAGAAACTTCTAACTCTGAAGTTAGTGAACCTGACTCAGAAGATGTAAAACAATTTGAATTGAATCCTATAAACCATCATAGAGAAATAGTAAATAGGGCACCGGACCTAGGATTAATTGATAAACCGAATTCTATATCTCAATTTAAATACAATGCATCTACAATCTATGAATGGAATATAGATGGATTGTCTGAATATAATATATTAAGTATATTGCAACAAATGACAATGGCTGCAAATGCTTATAAAACTCAGTCAATAAAAGTATTTAACATGATCATAATACCCTAAGGAAACTAAAACTTAATATATCATCTCAATTTAATTATTACATATTTCAGGTTAGTAAATCTAGAAGAATATAATGCTCTTGCAATATCCCAATCTTGATGTGTGAAACTTGGGGAAACATAGTATTAAGGGATTATAGTGACAACATTTATTACATTCAGGATAATTAGCGTGAGTGATTTAATTGCAAAACATACCAATGAAAATGGCTTGGACCCTAATCTGCTTAAATAAAACACAGTCAACTTTATAATTTACATGAAACTAACCCATACTAGTTACCAAATATAATAGATCAGAAAATCCCCTTTTAAATTGCTGGCTTTTGTTTACAGGTCTAATTCTACATATGAATAACGGATGGTGGCGCTATTTATCGATGTATTCCTTGAGAAACTGAGATGCCAACTATCACTTATACAAATACTTGTTATAAAACTTCCCAGATTTCCTCTGAGATAATTATTATGATGAATGTGAGACATCTTTCTAACATATGATCAAAATTAATGATGAATTACATTTCTAATCATGATAGCTGCATGTCGAATCGTGTGTAAAATGTCTCAGCCCATAAATGCCTGTAAATCCAAAATTTCCTTAACCTTTCCTCCTCCAACAAAGTAAGGTAAATCCAGCCCAAAAATTTTTATCTTTCCCCAAAAATCACTTTTCAGTTATAGGAGATATTTATCTAGGACGCCCATTCCATTTCGAGTGCTGCTTCATCTTAAGAAAAAGAATAGAATTTATTATAATCTGACGTCACTTAGTGCAGCCGGTCAGCCCTTTAATGGGGTAGGTTGGCATTGTCGCGAGGCAACAAATCATCGAATAAGCCGTAAAAAGTGGTTCTGAGGTACTGCAGATTGTCACGATCCTGGTGTATAGGCACCCCCGTAATAGGGAGCCGGATTACACCTGTCTTTGCCATCCTGCGGCAGACATAGTACTGTCCATCAATAGTCAAAAGCAGCAACAGTAAAGATTCTGTGGCAGACGAAGGATTGTTCACCAATAGTCAAAAGACAAACAGTAAAGATTCCGTGGCAGACCAACTACTGTTGGGAGAAAAGGTTAGGAATTTTATTAAACAACACTTTGGTAATCCTATACCTTATGATAAATTAACTTATGGACAATTAAATAGTATAATTCAAAAGGTTTAACAATTCTGTAAAGACTGGCTACAACCTACGACAAATACACCTCTAAAGTATGTAATAGTGTAAAAACTAAACAAGAATTAGGGGTCCTATTTTCGTAAAGATCAGTATGCGTAGGTTTACAGATTTGTAAAGACTTACAACTACAAATACATCTAAAGTATGAATTATGTAAAACTAAACAAGAATTAGGATCTTTTTGTAAATAGTATGGTTATTAAGAGATAAAAAGTCAATGTGGAAATT